GTGGTCCATCATACAAAAACTGTAGAGCTAACCATTTGACAGAAAATTGTATGTCTATGGACTTTCCCGAGAAACAAGTCAACTTTATTCAGAATGGCTCCCGCAATTTTAACCCATATTCGCAAACATATAACCTAGGATGGAGACATCACCCGAATTTCAGATGGTCAGATAATCAACAAGGAAATTGTTCAAATAATGCCCAGCAGGAAAACAAACCAAGTTTGTGGGAGATATTTCATCAACATGGTAGAAAATAGAAAAAGTATTCCCACATATTGATACTAATTTTCAAAATTAGTAAGCATCTATCAAGAAGTTGGAAAAATCGATTGGTCATATAGCTCAACAACTTGCAGAATGTCCACATGGATCATTGCTAAGCAATACAATAACAATTCCTAAAGAGCAATGATGGCAATAAGAGTGATAGAAAACAATTCACCAGAACTCCTGTAAAAGTTAAAGTATATGTACCTCCACTTTCATTCCCCAAAGACTTCGAAAGAAGTCAATTGAGGAAAATATCCATGTTACAACTACAAGCAGTGAGGTACAATTACCAGAGATTACTGTGAAACGACTAGAAAGAAAAGATGACCAGAAAGATGTTGATGAAGCAATAATGGAGGAAAAATCTACACCCGCCTCAATTGATAATGAAGAAAGTACAGAAACATCCACTACCAAAGCACCATGCCCTGCTAAGGCTTACGTGTCTCCCATTCCTTTTTCTCAGATGCTCAAGGTGAACAAACAAGACACAAAATTTGAAAAAATTCTTGATGTTCTCAAGAAGCTCCAGATCAATATTCCGTTGATTGATGTGATATTACAAATTTCAAGTTATATAAAATTTTTGACAGAGATGTTGACAAAGAAAAGAAAAATTTCAGAGCTTGAAATTGTGGAATTAACGGAGAAAAGTAGTACAAGAGTGCAAAACAAATTACCTCCCAAGTTGAAAGATCCAAGGAGTTTTACTTTGCATATTTTAATTGAAAACTCTTGTGCTATTAATGCATTGTTTGACGTACGTGCTAGTATAAATCTAATATCATATTCTTTTTACAGGAAATTGAGATTGGATGAAATTTTAATCAACATCAATAACGCTACAACTAGCTGACACAACAATTTCAAAGCCACGTGGCAAAGTTGAGGATCTGCTCATAAAAACAGGAAATTTAATATTTTCGGTAGATTTCATTGCGTTGGACATACCAAACGATCGAGACATTCCAATTATATTGAAGCGGCCATTCTTAGCAATGGGTTGAACTCTAATTGACACGGAGAAGGGTGAGCTAATATTGAGGATAGATGAAAAGTAAAAGATATTTAATCTTTGTACCCCATTTGAGAAACATTTCAACAAAAATCATTGATCTAGAATTGATGAAAAAGAGCCACCTAATCAACGAAGTTATTAGAATAGAAAATCAAATTTTGGTGGACTTCTTGGTAGAGATGAAAATGAAAATATCAAAATATGGAGAGCAAAAGGAGTGCGCATAAATGAAAATTGCAAAAAATGCAATGATAACATAACTTGGTTCGAGCCACCATGATCAAACATGGCACAAAGTCAAGCTAACGACGTTAAAACATGGCACAAATAAAAATATTTTATTTGAAAATTTTTCTTCGTAGCATTTATGATTCGAGCAATTAAGTTAGCAAGAGTTTTTAAAATTTGGTGCCCTATGGTCATCTGACTTGGGAGTCATCGACCGAAAGTTTGTTACATGGGTCATTTAGAAAACTTAAGGGAGTGAATGCTTCAAATAAAGAAAAAAATTAGTCAAATAAATCAGAAAAAGCAGGTACATGAAACAGAAGATGCACCAAATACCTTGATTAAGTCTCAAACACTTGTTTAAGAAAAGTTGACTTTTGATAAGCAATTGTAAGCCTAGTCAAGTCTCAAATATTGAAGCAATCAAATTTAATGGAGAATTCTTATTTATTGAAATATTGAACTGCAATTGGTGAAATGTTGCCAAACTAGAGACGTGAGGATAAAAAAAAATTCAACATTAGTTCACACACCGGAAAAGAATAAATTTGGGGAAGTGTGAATTTTACGAGTGATGAAAGAACATATTTAATTATTGAGGGTCGGGAATTGAAACAACTTATAAATTCATAATCTTATGCTTAATTCTTCACACAGACACGTCGATTTTACAATGAAAAAGTAGATTTTAATTTCTGCATTGTGATTTTGAAACTGTGCATATATTTGACATTTTGATTTCAATCCCAAGATAAAAAGTCAGGTTAGCTTACTAAATCTTGTTGCTTTGTTTGATTGACAGGCCACCAATTAGATAATTAACATCGTGTGTTTGTGCGTTTGTTAGGTTATGGTTTTGTTTGATGACAAATAAAGATTTTAGTTTGGGGTATGATAAGTATAGTTTCTACACTTATTCGAGACTCTAAATCATGATATTTTATTGTCTTTTGGATAAAATTCTACATAATTTATGTTATATTGTATTTTATAGGTAAAACTTTATGTTTAATGAAGAATTGGAGAAAAGAATGCAAAAGTAGCGAAAAATGACAAAATCCAAAGATGAATCCTTGGAGATAAATAATACATTAAATGGGTTGAAGTTAAATGGGAATCAATGGACTTGTATTTGAAATTTTAAGTGAATCTCAATGTGGCTGAAATATATAGAAGCAAAGTAGAAAAGAAAAGGATGACAGAGAAAAAACGCAGATAAAAAGCGGCAGAGAAAAAGAAAGGAAAAGATAAAAGAAACGCACGTGGAAGAGAGAGAAAAAGGGCCAAAAAAAAAAGAAGAAAGGAAGAAAAAAGAGAGAAAGAAAAGAGAAAAAAAGAAAGGAGAAGCTAGGAACGAGCAGTTTCACGTTTCGTCAGTTTTTAGTGATGTTATTCCACTTTTGCATGTTTTTATTTTTACAATATGAGTAACTAATTTTCATATTAGAGAAAACAATGTAGTCGACTTGTAAATTTATGTGATTTATTCTTATATGTTAATTTAATGCATTGAATTACTTGATCACTAATTTAATGATTATGTGAGTCTCTTATGAATCGAGATGCAAGTTTGAGATTTAGACCATATAGTAAAATTCGGTAAATTAGTATAACGTGTAGAGATGCATATATTAATTATTGCAGTCATAATATGAATTATTAGAACTAGTATTTCGTTAACTAAGATTGATTCACATAGAGATATGAAATTTAATTAGTTAAATATGCTCAATGAGAATTTGATAGGGGCAAAATAGAATACAATAAAAAAATTCTATCGAACACTATATTAAGTTATGAATTTTGAATTAAGAATTAAGGTAATCAATAGATGAAATTATTATGCCATAATATTCATTACATATTTGAATCTTCAATCAACTGTTATTTGTAATCGTTATATATTTTCAATTAGTTAAAAGTAGTTAGGAAAAATAATCACAACTATCATAGTTATTTACTACTTTTTATCAAATATGAGTTAAAAAAATTTAATTAAGTCCTTAAGTATAGTACTCGTGTAAACGATATTCAGATTCAAATATCCACTATACTACTTGTTACGATATAGTACACTTGTGATATAAAAACGCAACATAATCTCTTAATTTTGTATGTTTAGACAATATTCTTGTTACTACTTTCAAGAAAAAAACCCCCCCACAAAACCTATAAAAATGTAGGACAAATTATGTAGAAAAATGATGACTACCCTTTACGTCGTCAATTTTGCAGTCTTCAAACCTTGCTCTACTCCCTCAAGCTGTCATTTAACATGTTCATGAATAATGACAAAAATCTAAAATACAAAATGAAATTACAAATCAAAACATATAAGTTTGGTGTTTGGTGGGGATTAAAATTAGATTTTTAGTAGATTTTGATAAAAGTTTTTGAAATGTGTGGTTGAAAAGCTGTGAGACCCATGAAAGATGTGATTAATATTTGTTGTTTGACTTTGATTTAGATTAAAATCTGATTTTAATTTGTACCAAACAAGCTCAAATATTTGATAAAAAAAATTGAAAAGGAAAAACTCACACAAAATGCGTAACGGCAGGAATTCGAATCCCTCTACAAAATGGCTTATTAGTTCTAAGAACCTTTCAGATGCAATTTTGATCCTTAAGTTTTATTAATAGAAATTCTACAATTATATTAACGACAAATTTAATTATAATTTATTATTATAATAATATTAAGATATAATAAAAGTATAACTATATATTTTTGGAGTTATATTCTAACTCTTAATTATTAATAATTATCCTTTTTAAATAAGGGTAAAAGTGGAAATCAAATATTTTTGATGAGGATTAAAATTAGATTTTTAGTAGACTGTGATAGAAGTTTTTGAAATATGTAGTTGAAAAGTTGTGAGACCCATGAAAGATGTGGTTAATATTGATTATTTAACTTTGACTTAAATTAAAATTTGATTTTAATTCGAAACAAACATGTCCTATGTATATTTTGTGGTTAATAATAACTAAAACACATATGCAAAATGTAAATTTATAAAATATGATAGATAAATTGTAAATACACCCTAAATGCAAGATATGTTATAATAAGTTTCTTTTTATTTTCAAAGAAATTAACAGAAACATTGATGATGCTAAATGGTGTTTGCTTCCAACTCATTTATAATCATAAACAATTATTATCAACTGTTAGGATTAAAAATCATTTTACATCTACCAAATATTGAATAATGAGAATAAAATGGCTTTCAATTAGAAGAAAATAGAGTTTAAAAAAAAAAAAAAAACCTTTCTTCTACTAAAAGAAAGACTACAGAGGAAACTGAAGTATTTCTTTCTTCAAGGAAAGGAGGAAAGACAGATGAAATAATACGACGTCGTCACAGGGAAGACCCTTATATACTACTACTTCCGAGAAAATAGCGTTAAGTCTCTCATTTGCACCTCTGGAGGAAAACAAAAAACCCCAATTAAATTAAACCCTTTTCCCCAAGCCGATGGCAACCAAAGCTCCTCCAACAGCAGCTCACCAATCCGGCGACGCCACCGTGAAGAAAGAGCTTCGAAAGCCGGTGTTTGTGAAGATTGAATCTCTGAAGCCCGGTACAAATGGACACACACTTGTAGTCAAAGTAGTGAGCTCCAATCCTGTCCTCAACAGGAAACCCCGCAATCCAATGTTCCGTGGGTCCCAAAATCACAACACCCGAATCTCTGAGTGCCTCGTCGGTGACGAAACCGGCACTATCCTCTTCACCGCGCGTAATGAACAAGGTCCGCACTTGTCCTCTGTCAAAAATTTCGTGTGTTCTTTCATTTTTTGTGTTTTTAAACACATTGGATGCGTTTGCTAATTATTTCATGCCTGATGTTATCATTTGATAGTGAGGCGGGCTAGATTGACTTAGGAAAAAATATGATGCAGTTTTTTCGGAACTGCTGCGATCAGTGTATGAGAAAAAGAGTTATTATATAGAAGAGGAAATCACGAGTGTTTATACATAATTACTGATGCAGTTTATATTAATAAAGACTGAAGAATGTTGTACAAAATGAAGTGATATAGTGATTGAGAGATCCCTATTAAGTTAAAAAGGATTATGGCATTAGAGAATAAAATGTCCATAAGATGTACATAATAGTATGATATGTTGGATGTATGGCCATGCTTGATGGGATAAAATAACAAAGTTTGATCGACACTACAGATGGAGGATAAATTAAAAGTTAACATTTTAGACTACGGTAGTGTGTCTTGCATGGAACCAAGAAACTCCAATTCACAAAAATGATATATTCATAATAAAACAAATGAGAAAAGGGAGCAGTATGCCAAACTTGATCTTATTAATAACTCAAGAAACTCCAATTCGCAAAATATTTTGTCTTTTTAAACTTCAATGGGAAGTATCTTTGAAATGAGCGGAATGTTGAGAAAGGACCCATGTTGTTGAACCTCAAGTTGTTGCAGTAGGGCAAAATTTGTTGTTGATCTTATTATTAACTTGCATTTTTACTTGTATCATGTATGTCATTGTGATTGTGAAGTCTCTGTCACAAATGTGATTATAGAACTCTTTTAGAGTTTCAGTTTACCTATAATATTTGTGCTTGTGTTGTTGTTTTTACAAGCTATTTGTTGAAATCTTATTACCTTCTGGCTTATTTGAGCGCATATAAATCCAAAATGAATGATCTTGCAAGTTCATAGCCATGTTTAGTCAGTGATGAGTACCATCCATTTCCATGCAGTTGACATGATGCAGCCAGGTGACTCCGTGGTCCTTCGGAATGCAAAAATTGATATGTTCAAAGGCTCTATGAGGCTAGCTGTTGATAAATGGGGCCGTGTTGACGTTTTCGAGCCTGCTACATTTGGAGTCAAAGAAGATAACAACCTATCCCTGATTGAGTACGAGTTGGTGAATGTTGTTGAAAAATCTTGAAATTGCTTATGCTGATGTACTATTTACTTTGTAACTATTGGGAATTTCCATCTGGCTAATTCATGCTTGTGTAATTGAAATAGATCAGTTGGTATATAAAAAAGATTGTCCCTGGATTTGGTTTACTGCAGTGTCTTTCAAGTTTCAAACGTAGAAAGATGAAAATCATGAGATTAGTTCAAGATTGGTGATCTGTGTGTTGCCTCTAATCTATGAGTATTTTGTTTGCTATTGTTTCTGAGATTGGATGCAAAAATTGACACTGCTTATGTTTCATGTAGGCTTTGATTTTGTAGTTTTCCATTTGTATTATATGTTTTG